AATGACGTCACTTGGGGAGGGGGGGTGTAGGTAGCAGAAGCTACACCGGGGTGTAGTGTAAAATTTTCAAATTTTACCTACGACCCAATGATCATGAGGAGGGTCCAAAGGTTTAATCCTATTCCTAAACTAATTAGGATTGATTAGAATCTTCTATAAGTTTCTAAAATATCTTAATTATCCTTTTTTGAAAAGATAAGATTAAGGAATTTGATTTAAATATAAACTTTCCTTTTTTTAAACTTTCCTTTTTCTAAGTCCTAATTCTATTCGAATTTAAACATGTTCAAAGACAGTCAAATTTTATTTTCGTGCCTCATATTTTTTATCAAATTTTATATGGTTGGATAGATCTTGAAATTATCTTTCCAATGATATATTATAATATCAATTCCGAACTATAACGAAAAAGATATGAAAGGAATACGAAACTCTATCCAAAACTGACACCCTTCCACTATTTCGGCCATATCTTTTTATCTACAAAAGATTTTAATCTGATTCTAATTTCATTGGAAATTATACTTCAAGATTTTTCCAAAGACATATTATATGACTTATTTGGACTTCTAGATCAAAAGATATGATAAAAACAAAATACGCAAAAACTGTTGTCTACGAGTTTTATTTCGATTCGAATTCGGATTCTTTTCTTAATTCTTCGACCCTCTTTTTTTCCTATAATAGAGGTCATATCTCCCCTTTTTCAATCATCAACTCTCATCAAGGTTTACTTGATATTCTCTCTCTCTTTCTAAACCAACCCCTTTGCAAACACAATACCGCATACACAAGACTTAGAAACATCTAGCCAAATTCAAAGTTGCCTTCGCCCTAGACGTGAAAGGTTGATAATTTCTGAGGGTTTGGTCCCAAATCCAGTAAACTTTTTAACTCTTTCCTTCAATCGTTTAATTTAATTCTTTGATTTATTATTTTCATTGAAGTTTACTAACGCGTGTATTTTGTTATTAGAAAGATGTACGAGGCATCAAAGTATGTAATCTTATTGCTCTATTCTTGTAGAAAGCATGTTTATTATTTATTAATTCCTAGTATCATGTTAGGATGTTATTATTGCTTTCTAGTATCATGTTTAGGGTGCCTCTTGTTCTTTCTAATATCATGTTAGTACCATGTTAGGTTAAAAGCTTTGATCTTTAATGTTTAGTGATATTCTAGGATTATTTGTTATTAATCATGTTAGTATCATGCCTAGGATCTTGCTATTATTATTAAGCTTTATTATGCCTTATCATGATTATGATTATATTATGATTATTATTATGATTATGATTATTATTATGTTGCTTGATATTTATATTATTATTATTGCTTGATCACGCCTTTTATGCTTATTTAAAGGGAATTTGTACTTGAAATCACGCTTAATAAGATAATTAATAATTTGGTTTAGGCTAATATGATTTTAATTCAAGTGATCGCCAATAATAGTTTTATTTGTGCATTAATATTCAACCAACATAGATTAAACAGGTTTAGGGTTAACCTAATGTTTTCATGTTAGTCAAAAAGCGCACATGAATACGAGTAGAATAAAGTAGAGGCCTATTTTATAGGGCGGGTCCCTTCTTTTGTAGATTGGACTCGTACCCTTATCCCCGAACCCTATTTGGTTCAAGATCTTATGGAGTTGACGATCTCATGGATCGTGAAGGGGTGTAACCTTCACCTCGTGATTGGTTTACAAGTTCCTAAAACTTGTTGGCGACTCTTTTGCTCTCTTTTCTTTCCCTTTGGACGCCACCATACTTAAATGTATGATCACAGTGGGGTTCAAGCTTGGGGTTATGATGCTTGAAATATTCCCTACAGGAACGTGGGGATACCAACTTCAGCGGGAATAACTACTTCTGAGCCGAAAGCAAGGTTGAAAGGCGACTCCCCAGTAGTTTCCTTTGTTGTCGTTCTATTCGCCCATAATATTTCAGGAATCAAGTCTGCCCACAAGCCCTTGGCATCTTCTACCTTCTTTTTTAGCACAATTAGTATCTGTTTCTTTGTGGCCTCCGCTTGCCCGTTTGACTGCGGGTGACTACGCAAACTTGACTTTGTATATGCTCAGGAAATTCTTAACTGGACCGCAATCGAATTTAGAGCCGTGATCAAATACCATTGCTACCGGTAATCCAAAACGGGTAAATATGTTCTTCCAGATGAACTTCCTTACCTAATTCGCTGTTATTTTTGCTACCGTATCTGCTTCTATCCATTTGGTGAAGTAGTCTATCCTTACTATCAGAAACTTTCTGCTTCCTGTTGCTGATGTGAAAGGTCCGACAATATCCATTCCCCATTGTGCAAACGGGATCGGATTGAGGATTGGTGTCAAGTCGTTTGGCGGTTGGTTTATTGCCGGCCCAAACTTTTGACATTTGTCACATTTCTTTGCATACTATAAAGCATCTGCATTCATTGTTAGCCAATACTAACCTCTTTTCATTGCTTCTAAGGACATTGACCGTCCCCCAGCGTGATTTCAATAGTCTCCTTCGTGTATTTCTTCTATCAGCCTATCTGATTCATAAGCCGTTATGCATCTTCGCAATGGTAATGAGAACCCCCGTTTATACAACATCCCCCTGAACATAACAAACCAAATGCTATATTTCTTAACCTTCTGGGCTTCAATCCTGTCGGTTGGTAGGACGTTGTGCACCTTATAGGCCAATATTTCGTCATACCATTCCCGACCTCCGTCTACACAATTCACCTCTGCTGGAGCTTTTTCTTTATCAATGCTTTTATGTTCCAAAAGTTCCACCATTACAGTGCGCTCCAGATCATTGAAGCTTAAACTTGCCAGCTTTGCCAATGCATCTGCTTGTGTATTCTGAGCTCTCGGGACCAGCTTAATTTCAAAATGTTCCAGATTGGCCGTTATTGCCTTTAACTTGGCTAAGTATGCCATCATTGTTTGCTCTTTGGCCTCATACGTACCATCAAACTGACTTGCTACTAGCTGTGAGTCGGTTGTCAACTCAATCCGTTTTGCCTCAACAACTACACAAAACTGTACTCACGCTAAGGATGCTTCGTATTCGGCTTCATTATTTGAGGCTTTGAATTTAAACTTGATAGCGTATTCGAATATGTCTCCTTACGGGGAGACCATAACAATACCGGCCCCTGAACCAGTTGACGCCGAGGAACCGTCAACAAAGATTTTCCATACCCTGACAACTTCTTCTTCTTCTGTGTAGGATGTTTTAACAATGAAGTCAGACAACGCCAAAGCTTTTATCGACACTCTCGGCTTGTAAACTATCACATACTCCGACAACTCTACCATCCATTTGAGCAATCTTCCAGATGTTTCCATCCTCTGCAAAGACTTCTCTAACGGTTAATTCGTTAGGATTTCAATGGTGTGTGCATCGAAGTATGGTTGCAGCTTTCGTGCGGCTATGACTACCGCATACGCAATTTTTTCCACCAGGGGATATCGCCTCTAGGCCGCATTCAAGACATGGCTCACAAAATAAATAGGCATTTGAGTTTTCTTCCGTTCCACTAGCAGTACTGCCACGACTGTCTTTGGGATGCCGAGATATACAGCTGCAGGCTCTCTCCTTGTTCTGGCCTTTCTATAGTCGGTAGGGACCTTAGATGGTTTTTTACCACCTCCAACGCCTTTGCATGCGCTTCTCCCCAGACGAATGTTTTATTTTGACAGAGAACCACAAAGAACGATAAGGCCTTATCACCTGATTTGCTGATAAACCTTGTCAGCGCCGCCATGCGGCCGTAAGCTTCTGTATGTCTTTTATTGACTTTGGTTGTGGCAAGCTAAGGATAACTTCAATTTTATCTGGGTTTGCATCTATCCCCCTTTTACTAACTATGAATCCCAAAAAGTTCCCCGATCGAACTCCAAAGACACACTTCTCTGGATTTAGTTTCATCCGGTAGTGGCGCAGGGTTTCGAATGTTTCTCTTAGATCTGTAACGTGATCCGTGGCTAGTCGGCTTTTTTACAATAGAATCGTCAACATATACTTCTACGTTCCTCCCTTTCTGATTTGCGAAGACCTTGTCTACTAGCTTTTGATACGTGGCCCCTACATTTCGCAACCCAAATGGCATTACCCTATAACAGAAGACGCCGACATCAGTGATAAAAGCCGCTTTGGTCCTATCGGGCTCGTACTGGCTGACTTGATGATAACCAAAAAACGCATCCATAAAGCTAAGCAGGGCATGGCCGGAAGTTGAGTCTACCAGCCTATCTATCCTGGGCAGCGGATAGCAATCCTTCGGGAAAGCTTTATTTAGATCTGTGAAGTCCACACACATTCTCCATTTTCCTGACGACTTTCTCACCATGACCACATTTGCTAACCATTCTGGATACGTGCAAGGCTCGGCTTGTATGGCCTCAATATTTTCTGTCGAGAAATTCCGCTTCTTCTGCCTAACCGGCCTGGCCTTCATGTCCACATTCAACTTATGTACCATAACGTCTGGGTGGATCCCAGGCATCTCGTCTGCCGAGAAGGCAAACACATCTGCATTTTCTCGTAAAAGTTCCACGAAGTAGCATCGTGTATCGACATCCATATCGGACCCAATTCGTACTACTCTCCCGAGACTCCTGGTTGTAGCTCAATTTTGACGGTTTCCCCTCCCGACGAAGGACGGGGGACCGTCATTGGCCGAGTATCAAAGTTCTCCATTGCCAGGTCGTGTGTGGACGGTGTTCGCTCCCTTTTTTGGGTTATCTGCTGAATGGTGGGTTGCCAGTTTGGTTGCTTTAGAGCTGTTACATAACACTCCCTGGACATTGTCTGACCTCCTCTAATGCGTTCTGTTCTCCCGAGATTTGACACGTACACCATCGTCAGATGATATGTTGAAACCACTCCTTGTATGTCATGAATCAGCGGTCTGCCGACAATAGCGTTGTATGCTAAGGGTACATCGATTATCAAAAATTCTGTCATAACATCTCTGGCTGCCATACCTTCACCAATTCTAACCTACAAAGCGATGCTACCCTCTGGTCTGACTGTGGACCCTTTAAAACCAATGGCTGGATATGACACCAGCGTCAAATACTTCTGGCCTATCCTCATTGCGTCAAATGCCTCTGCGAACAAAATGTTAGCTGAGCTTCCTCCATCGACTAACACGTGCTTGATGTCGGCTACATTAATCGTCAGTATTAGAACCAAAGGATCATCGTTAGGAAAGACTATGCCTTAAACATCTGCTTCCGAGAAAGATACTGAAGGGATTGAGGCTAGCCTGGGTCGCTCCTCTATCCCTAGTGCATTCACTGTATGCCTGTGTTCTGACAGACTCTTTTTCGCCCGTTGACTGAGCCCCATGCACTGGACCGCCGATAATAACCTCTATTGTGATTTTGGGGCCTGATGTGTTACTGCCCTGCCGGTATTCCCCAGCGTGATTACGCCGATAAGTGTCGTCCTGCATGGACGAGTCACCCTGCTTTCGGTACTCGGTTTTCCTGGGTTGTGAAGTTTGCTGCCGGCTTGACCTTGCTTGGTATTGCGATAAGTGCCCTTTTCTGATGAGGTCTTCTATATTTTCCTTCAACTGAGTACATTCTTCGGTGTAATGACCGACATCCCTGTGAAACATGCAATACTTCTTTGCATCTCGACCCTTAGTTATCATCGGTGCCGGTCGACTCCAGTCTTCTTTGTGCTGATTTATTGAATATATAGCGACTCTGGGCGTATTCAACTGTGTGTAACTACTGTACCGGCCTAGACCTTTTGCTGGCCTAACGGTTCTCTGTTGATTTTGCTGTTGCTGTCTGTTCATCCCACCAGCATAAGAGTTAGGTGCAATATTGTCGTTTTGCCTTTGAGAGGGTCCAGGTGATGCTATCTAACTGCTAGTCTTCAATAGCTCCTCACTCTTTATGTATTCATGGGCTTTACCAAATGCCACACCCAAATTCGGGAAAGATTTCCTCGCCATGTATTTCTTGAAGTCATTATCACCTAAGCCACTCATTAAAGCCATCACAACTATTTCTTGTTGTAATTTTGGTATTGTATTGGCCTTGTTGTTGAATCGTCTTATGAAGTCCCTAAGCGACTCATCCTTCCTCTGCTTTACTGCCATAAGCTCTCCAGAAGTTCTTTGTCTAGCGTTGTTGGTGATATATTGGCCGGTAAACAGCTCGACCAAGGTATCAAAGTAGTCAATTGAACCGGGTTCCAAATTAGAAAACCAGTCCGAAGCAGGACCCGTTAACGTTGTTGGAAATACTTTGCACCACACCGCGTCGGTGATGGTATACAACATGTGGCTTTCGAAGGCCGCTACATATCGTTTGGGGTCCCCTTTGCCGTCGAACGTACATGACGACATTTTTATTCTTTCCATTTGCTGGTCAAGTACTTCCTGGGTAAATGTGGATATCCGCGGCCTGACTATAGCTCTGGATATACGTCTTACCGGCCCGTTGCTAACTTCATGCCTGTGAGACCCAGAGTCCCCTATCTGCGTATCATGGGTGGGCTGGCGTTCGTTTGGAATGATTACCTCTCGGCCTTATGGCTGAGGTGGTGGTTGTTGTCCCGCTTGATTAAACTAACTCTCCAGGTTCACAACCACAGGTATTGCCGGTGTGTTCACCCGTGTCCCGGCGACTGTTTTTCTCAGCCTCTTTCCTTTTCTGGGACATTGCTTGCATGACCTTGGCCATTATTTCAAGCTCTTATGGGGTAAACCCTTCCAGGGGGTCTAGTGTGTGCGCCCGGCTCCGCTCGGGCGTTACGGGTGTGTTCCCGGTATTCTTGTGGAGAAGGTGAGTTTCATCTTCCACCGTGATCTTAGGTATGCTGTTCACGGTTTTGTTTGCATTGGCATTAAGAATGTTATAGTCATACTGGCGGTTCTCGATTTCTGGTATCGGTGTTGTGGTTTCATTATTTCCTTCCCTGACTGCCGAAGGTCCTTTGGACGATAGAAGTTATTACTATCCCCTCCTTCTAGCGCCAATTGTTCCGGGTGAGCTCTGGTGCCGATAATCTTCGTGGGTTGGTAAAGGTTTACCGTCCAATTATGCACCTGCACAGTCAACATAGATAAGTTAACCCGGGGGTTATCCGGGACTAACCTCTCCGATGCTAAAGTTAGCAATCTGATGAGAAGAAAGAATGAAGAGAGAGAAAGTGTTTTTAGAGAGAGAGATTGTAACTTTTGATGGATGTTTGCTTGGGTATATATAGAAAGACAATTGTAGACACTCATTTGTGTCTCCCCAAAACCAAACCCAGTGATGAATACCTTTCGCGTCGAACCATAATCGAATGAGGTGAAAGTGTGAAAAGTCAAGTGTTGCGGTTAATTTTTATTAGAAACTCTCTTCTCTCTAATTTTGAAAACAACCTTATGTTATTAAAAATAGCTAATCCAGTTTAGTTTGGTCCGTAGTTGGATGGGGTTCGCAAAGAACTTTCCAACGATATACTATAAGCCAATTCCGATGAATAATGAGGAAGTTATGGATAAAATACTAATTTAGGCCCGGTTAGTTCTTTACATGCGGCCCAATGATCTACAGGAGGGCCCAATATTAATCGTTATTCCTAAAATTATTAGGATTAATTATAATTTTCTAGAATTCTCTAGAAGGTTCTTTTAAATTCTAATAGAGTTAGGATTAATGATTATATTATGATGGATTTTTATTTGGAATAAAATATTATTATTATTTTAATTGTACGATTTTAGCTTCTGTACGGATTCTGTAGATCAAATTTGGTTAAAGATCGGATTCCGCGTGGAAAGCGCGTAAAAGCTAGGCTGTCGCCAAACGACAAGTTTGTCGCCTCGCGACAGAGTGGATTTGCGGCGACAACGTGTAGTTTTATCCCTTATCAAATTTTATGCTTTTCCGGACTATTTTTCTTATAAATAGGGTCCTCGACCTCCGTTTTTCAATCATCAACTCTCATCAAGGCTTACTTGATATTCTCTCTCTCTTTCTAAACCAACCCTTTTTTATAAACACAATGCCGCATACACGAGATCTAGAAGCACCTAGCCAAGTTCGAAGTTGTCTTCGCCCTAGACGTGAAAGAAAGAGGTACGAGGATTCGAAGTAAGTAAATAGCTAACTCCCTATTTAATTTCAATGTAGAAAGCATGTTTAGATTTGTTCCTAGTATCATGTTAGGATGTTATTTATTGCTTTCTAGTATCACGTTTAGGGTGCCTTTTACTCTTTTCTAATATCATGTTATCATGTTAGTATCATGCTAGGTTTAAAGCTTTGATTTTTGATGTTTAGTGACATGCTAGGATTTGTTATTAATCTTGTTAGTATCATGCCTAGGATCTTGCTATTATATTTAAGCTTTATTATGCCTTATTATTATTATGATCATGATTATTATTATGTTGCTTGATATTATTTATATACTATTGCTATTGCTTGATCACGCCTTTTACGTATGTTTTAAAGGGAATTTGTACTTGAAATCATGCTTAATAAGATAATTAATAATTTGGTTTAGGCTAATGTGATTTTAATTCAAGTGATCGCCAATAATATATTTATTTGTGCATTAATATTCAACCAACATAGATTAAACAGGTTTAGGACTAAACCTAATGTTTGCATGTTAGTCAAAAAGCGCACATGAATACGAGTAGAATAAAGTAGAGGCCTATTTTATAGGGCGGGTCCTTTCTTTTGTAGATTGGATTCGTACCCTCATCCCCGAACCCTATTTGGTTCAAGATCTTATGGAGTTGACGATCTCATGGATCGTTAAGGGATGTAACCTTCACCTCGTGAACGGTTTACAAGTTCCTAAAACTTGTTGGCGACTCTTTTGCTCTCTTTTCCTTCCCTTTGGACGCCACCATACTTAAATGTATGATCACAGTGGGGTTCAAGCTTGGGGTTATGATGCTTGAAATATTCCCTACAACAACCAAGCTGGTGCCACCTATAATGATAGGTGGCAAACCGACCTTGTAGGCAGCAGGCTCCTACGTGGTCCAGAGTAGCTCTCCACGTGGCCGAGAGGAAGGCCGTTATGGAAGTTGAGCTGACATGCTAGTTAATAGATGCTTAGAGGCATAATATAGTATTACCGTCTAATTAACACATCTTACCGGTATCCTCCCGTACAGACATGCATCCAGCTTTTAGCTTTATTATCTCTACCAATGTAGCCTAGCAGAAACTACAAGTACGTAGCACTCCAGAAAATACCACACCAAGCAAAAGAGGTAATGCAGCACTGAACAAAGCTCGGAATTCAGAATTCCAGATTAAATTAAGCATGCTATTAGAGTAATCAGACAAAACATGCACAAAATAGATTATTGCTGCAAGGGCTTGGTAATTCATTACGATAAACGAGTTGGCCACTTAAGAAAAACTTAATGATAAAAAAGCAGGATCATTCGTAAATTAAGAACAAACACAGGATGGAGCTCAATTCTAGAAAGACCTTTCACAAATTTGGAATACTTCTAACCGTTCTTGGTGTCAGCATTGTACTAGAGATATCCACCACATTTCAAAAAGGAATATAAGGAAACACATAGCACTGTGATTGTGCTCCCTTGATTTTCCCAAACAATCAAGGAAACAGATACAGCGAAAGCTTTTTTTATTTATATAGAAAATAATTTTGAAAGATGGAAAAGATTTTGCAGAAAACAAGGAATGCCCCAACCTTAACAAGAATAATTGTATATCAACCACATTGGCATCATTTTGAATATACTCTAGATAAACACCAAACTTATGCTAGGGATTCTCATAATAGAGAACAAAAAACAGATTAAACATCCATTACCAGTTTCCAGCCACATGTCCCAAAATAGCCAAGCAAGCTGATTTTCAAGATATGAATATATGATGCAAAACAAAAACAAACATTATGTTTTTTTTAAAAAGAGAATACCTCGATAAGGTGAAGATTTGAAGCACGGCTTAGAAGAAAAAAAGCGAATTCTCCAATTGAGCAAGTGACAATCCAACTTGTTTGTGTCATTTCAACATAAGTAAATTTTGTGCAAGCTCTCTACCTTTATAATAAAATAACTTCAGAAGCTATACTTACCAGAAGAAATGTCCTGATACTATAACCAAAAGCCTTAGTTATCACAACCGTAACAAATGTCTTAAACACCACAACCAAAATAATTGATGCAACCAATATATCCACATGAAGCCAAAGAAATTTATTGAGATATATCTTATATTATATTTTAGTAAGATATTTTTTCCCTAATATTATCTTGTGTATTCCTTAATATTCTAGGAGATCTTATGATTCTAAGTTAAGGAAAGTATGTAATGCTATATATATTTAGGGCTATGCTTAATGAGAAATCAAGCTATTCTATTCTATTCTTTTTAATTTGTCATGGTATCAAGAGCAGGTTAATTTTTTTTCCTCCATAATCAACGATGGCCGGTGATGATACATCACCACCACCGCCACCACCAACTAAAATAGAACCGAATTCCCCCTATTATTTTGGTCCTCAAGATCGTCTCGGCGATTACATTACACCTACTCGGCTTAAAGGAGACAACTATGATGAATGGGTCGCCGATATACAGACTGCCGTGGAGGCCAGAAGAAAATTCGAGTTCCTCGATGGGACAATTACCACGCCACAACCTCTCTATA